TATGTGTGTGTGTGTGCGTGTACGTGTGTGTGTGTGTGTACGTATGCATATATATACACAAGGACAACCAGCCTACTTACACACGAATATATATACACAGATATGTAATATTTCTGTATAGTGACATAGGAATTTGTATTTATTTAACTAGATGGTTATGCATCTCTCTCTCTCTCTCTCTCTCTCTCTCTCTCACACACACACACACATATATATATATATATATATATATATACAAGTATGTATATATTTATATATATATATATATACATACTTGTATATGTATATGCGTACAGTATATGTCTTTTTACACATATATATAATCACATATGTACGTGTACCTATGTATAGTTACGTGTATATATAAGTGCGTATACACACACACAGACACATACACACACACATATATATATATATAATTACATACACACTAGATGTATTAATCTATCCACACACGCACACATGCACGCACACATGCACGCACGTACGCACGCACGCACACATACACACATATTATTTCGTATTTGTCGCATGAAACCTATTTTTCGATAATGTGAAGTTGGTTGCAAGTGTGTGACCTTTACAGAAATGTTCGTGGCCCCCGGAAAATACAAATAAATCCTCAGCTACCCAGACACAAATAGCTTTTTCTACCCAGAATTCTCTGTCAGGAATTGACGTCACTAAGACAAAGGTTTAGTCCATGAAAGTGTCAGCCTGACCTGGATTTGTACTGTTTAACGCAAATACTCGGATGATACGAGCATCATTATACTAATCAATATAATAATACACTGATACATACATACATACACACGCATACTCACACACACACACACACACATATGCATGCACATATATTAATAAGAATGACACGAGAAAGCCTTATATATATAAAGTAATATCTATATCTATATCTATCTATCTATCTATCTATATATATATATTCAAGACATTTTTTTATAATAAACAGTATTAACAACATTTACCGGCCTGAAAGTCCGAGAAATTTTTCATAAAAATATGCGTCCTCCGACAGGAATCGAACCTGTATCCTATACGGAAACGTCATTTAACCTGACGTGCCTTAACCGATTATGCATCTGTGGCCCAATCGATTAAGGTACGTCAGACTATATGACGGTTCCGTATGGGATACAGGTTCGATTCCTGTCGGAGGACGCATATTTTCTATGAAAATTTCTCGGACATTCTGCCGGCAAATTTGTTAATACTATTTTATTATAAACAAACATTACTTAAATATTTGTATCTATAAAAAGAACGTATAAACATAAAAAATGTCTTGAAAAATAAATTGTCGGACTTTGTCCAGTTCATAATATATATATGTGTGTGTGTGAAAAAGTTCAGAGTTAACCTGTAGAAAAAGCAATATGTATAAAGGTAAAAGACAATAGGAAAACTGTATTATTAGCCGACACGTTTCGTCCAATGCGGACTTTTTCTAGACAAACACGAAATGAATTTATTGAAGACAAAGTAACTTATAACAAACAAAATGTCCTTAGCGACTATTAGAAGAATTTAGAAAACGCTATTGCATTCATATTGTCAGTTGACAATACGAATACAATAGTACCCAAATACAAAGTACTTGATGTGATTTTCAGTTGACAATATGAATATAATAGCGTTTTCTAAATTCTTCTAGTTCCTAAGGAAATTTTATTTGTTTTTAATAGTTATTTTGTTTTCAATAAATTCATTTCGTTTTTGCCTTGAAAATGTCCATATTAGACGAAATGCGTCAATTAATAATACAGTTTTCCTATTGTCTTTTACATATATGTACACACACACGCACACACATATGTATATCCTATATATATATATATATATATATATATATATATATATATATAATGGGTTAACTTAAACATTATATGTAGTCGTAACTGACCGTTGTTACAGTTATAACAGAAACACAGGTTACTATATATATATATATATATATATATATTATAAAAAAATTATAATAAAAGCATATTGAAATTTGCTAAACAAAAGCTTTCATGTTTCAATACTTTACCAGTTACTTATCATCCTTTGAAGAAGTACAATTAAAATATTGAAACATGAACGCTTTTGTGTAACAATTTCGTTATGTTTTGTTATAATCATTTATAATAAAAATAATAATAAAATATTGCTCTATTTTGTATTGAGCACTGTTTTAAAAGTAAATGCTACGAACAATGGAATTTTACTCCATCTGTTCTTTCTCTCATTTGTATATATATATATATATATATATATATATATATATATATATATGACGGAAGTGTGAAAAAAAATGTAAAAGAGCACTTAGAGTCATTGAAAAAGGAATGGAATCAATAATCAGACTTATATTTCGAGAAACTTTGTGCTGCAGTAATCAAGGCAAAAGGAGGATATTTTGACGAGAGCAAAAATTAATCATATAATGTTTTTTTTTCTTTTTATTCATAATAAATTTTCTAATAAAAAAACATTTCTCACGTTTTTAAAACATGTATAGTAATTTTCTCTTATTTAATGTACAAAGCAACTACCTTATAGGCTAATTTAAAAATTAACAGGGTGGCGTCAAATTTTTGACCTGTAGTATATATATATATATATATATATATATATATATATATATATATATATATTTTGTTTATACGTTATCTTTGTAGATATAATTTATTTAAATAAATGCACTGTTCTTCTAATTAAACAGATGTATTAATTACATCTAATTAATAATTAATTACGTATAAACAGAAAATATATTTGATAATTGACGGCCTTAATCCATTTCATAATATATATATATATATATATATATATATATATATAAAAAAATATAGTTTTGAGTTATGCTATATTTATAGGTTAAAGTACTTAATACCAGCAAGAGAGCGTATATAAATGTAAAACTGGACATTGAGGTCAAAACCCGTTGGCAACAGTCTGTTTCATGCTTAAATGCAACCATCAGCGATTGGCGTTATCCTCAATGTCCACTTTTGCATATATATATATATATATATATATATATATATATATATGCATGCACTAAGTCGAGAATTATTTTAATATATTTTATTGTTATACGTTATTTATTTATACACACAAATATTTAGGTAAATGTTCTATTTTATAATAAACAGTAATAACAACATTTACGGGCCTGAACATCCGAGAAATTTTCATAGAAAATATGCGTCCTCCGACAGGAATTGAACCTTTATCTTACACGGAACCCTCATATAGCCTGATGTGCTATACCAGTTTAGCTACAGGAAAATTGTAGTTTAAAAAGCAATAAAATCTAACTTGCTAAGCAGACGCTCCTCTGTAGCTAAACTGGTATAGCACGTCAGGCTATATGACGGTTCCATTTTGGAAATAGAATTCCACAGACGAAAATTGCGATTGAAGAATATATATATATATATATATATATATATATATATTAAATGTCGTAAATTTTGACAGCAATCCTTCGTTTTAAAAATGTTCTATTAAAATCTCTTGGCAGCGAATGCCTATTATCAAGCATTTTGCTGAGTTTCTTCTGCTGCCGAATAAATTGTTTGATATCAATATTTCTTTCGTCGACCGGCCTTCACACCCAAAGAAACTTATTGTCTTTAATTAATTTAAATCTGCCAGCCACACGATGGCTATTAACCAATATGGTAGATCAAGCAAAAAAAAAAAAAAAAAAAAAAGAAAAGCCAAAATTTTAAGGAATCTTTAGGAAGTAATGGATTCATTTTTATTACTGAATATATGTTGAAAACTTGTAGGAAGAGAAAATCCCTCTGTTCCGGACTGGGCTAGTAAATTTGTTTTGAAAAAAGGTACGCAATACTCAATTTTAGATGATCTTTGAAATCCAGATTGTGATGTCAAATGTTCTATTCTGGATAGATCGATAGATATGAACAGATTGAGACACATAGATAAATTATAACATTTCTATCTCTCTATCTCTCTCTGGATAGATCGATAGATATGAACAGATTAAGACAGATAGATACTTATAACATCTCTCTATCTCTCTCTCTTTCTGGATAAATCGATAGATATGAACAGATTGAGGCACATAGATAAATTATAAAATCTCTCTCTCTCTCTCTCTCTCTGTATAGATCGATAGATATGAAAAGATTAAGACACATAGATAAATTATAACATCTCTCTGTCTCTCTCTCTCTCTTTATATATATATATATATATGTATATATATATATATATATATATATATGAAAACCAGCCAGTGAATTCTTTATCTGACATTATTTCAAGCGTTTTGCCGTGTTTCTCTCGGAGCCGGAGAAATCGTTTGGCATTAGCTGTAAACTTGTAAAGGAGGTTGCCAAAATTGTGTGCAATGTTCACAGTACTTCCAATCATTCTTAGTCATTGTCAAGAACATGATGTAGAACAACGCGAAAAGAAATACCAATTCTAGTGTTCGTGTTGGTAAGGTTTCCAAGTTTGTACTGAACATGTATCTATACGCTATGATAGTGCAATGTTTTTTTTTTCGAGACGTGTGAAAAACAATCGTACACTTCAAAGATATTTCAACACGTTCTTTTGCATGTTTCCACCTAATACCTGTTTACATTATGTTCAAAGGAAGTGATGAGCTCTCTAATGTAGAGGAGAGAATTCATATTCCTTCGTGTATCGATACATTTCCGTTTTCTTTGAATAATTTTTGAACATGCTCTTTGTGATCAAATTTCAAATGACACTACAAATTTTATTTTTATTTCTATGCCCCCCCTCTTTCGTTTTTCTTCAGGAATAACGAGCATGAGCCATGAAATCTACGTGTTATTCAACGTATTCTCACCGCGCAGTACAACACACTTTACACATAGTTGCACAAATCATTTTGATACCTTTTATAAATTCTTCTGATGTTTGGTCATTGAAATACAGATTTTGGAAGGCGAATTCTCAGACGCCACCAGTTCCTTAATTCTGACCAAATGTCAGCTTTTTTTTTTCTTCAATCCCTACTAAGTCGGGTAGGGAGCGTTTCCATACACCTCAGAGAGAGCGAGAGAGGAACGTTACAATCTATCTCAATTTCTTCATATTTATCGATCTATCCAGGGAGAGAGAAAGAAGTCTTAAAATCTATTTATCGATCTATCCAGAGAAACACACACACACACACACACACACAGAGAGAGAGAGAGAGAGAGAGAGAGAGATATTATAGTCTATCTATCGATCTATCCGGAAAGAGAGAGAGAGAGAGAGAGAGAGAGAGAGAGAGAGAGATAACGAGAGACATGTATCTATCTATCTATCTATTTATCTATCTAGAGAGAGAGAGAAAATTGAGAGATATTATCATTCTATCTATTCATCTATCTATCTAGAGAGAGAGAGAGAGAGAGAGAGAGAGAGAGAGAGAGAGATTACAATCTATCGATCTATCCAGAGAGAAAAAGAGAGAGATTACAATCTATCTATCGATCTATCCAGAGAGAGAGATAGAGAGAGATGTTATAATCTATCGATCTACCCAGAGGGAGAGAGAAAGAGAGAGAGAAAGAGAGAGAGAGAGAGAGAGAGAGAGAGAGAGAGAGAGATGATGTTACAATCTATCTATCTATCTATCTATCTATCTATCTTGAGAGAGAGAGAGAGAGAGAGAGAGAGAGAGCGTGTGAGAGAGGTGATGTTACAATCTATCTATCTATCTATCTATCTATCTATCTAGAGAGGGGGAGAGAGAGAGATGTTATAATCTATCGATCTATCCAGAGGGAAAGAGAAAGAGAGAGAGTGAGATAGATGATCTATCTATCTATCTATCTATTATATCTATCTATCTATCTAGAGAGAGAGAGAGAGAGAGAGAGAGAGAGAGAGAGAGAGAGAGAGAGATAAGAAGTTAGACGTCTTAAGAATTGAATTCAATGGTTAAGGGTCTTTTATATTATGTTATGAAAATTATCCAAAGTCAAAAAGGTTTTGTTCCATTACATAAAAAACGAAAACGATCTTATTACTATCGTAAAACGGACAGCCATCAAGAATATATATTAATAGCACACAGGCAGCCTTATTAGTTTATTTAATCTATTTTTTAAATTTTTATTTTTGATGGTTAGGAATCAATTTATTTCTATTTCGGAATTGGTCTAGGATTTGATCGGAACGAAAGAGTATTTTCTAAAACTTTGTTTACCAGCGCAGAAAAATCGCTTATACGATTGTGTGTTTCTTTTTCTTTTTCCATTTTTTTTTTGTTTTTTTGTTTTTTTGTTTTTGTTTTTACCGAAACATTATTGGCAAGTGACATAGAATCTCGACATCAATCTTTCTCAAATTTCGCCGTCGGCATTTGCCTACCCAATTAAGTTGTGTCGTCAAAATTATAAATACTTACTTACCTACCAACATAATAATATTAGCAAAAACAAGAACGAAAGAAACTGACATTCGTGGTTATGTTCAAATGCAATATATCAGATATAGACGTTTATACATCCGACACCATTTTGCATATATATATATATATATATATATATATATATATATATATATATATATATGTGTGTGTGTGTGTGTGTGTGTGTGTGTGTGTTAGTGAGTGTGTGTGTGTGTTTGTAAATATTCCCAGAGGGAGTGTATCTGTAGAAGAGGCAAAATAAATAAAAAGAGAGAAAGAGGAAAAAAACTATACTTAGCCGACGTGTTTCGTTCTTTTGGCCTTGATAAAGTCTCTCAGAAATGCGTGGGTTAAGTATAGTTTCTCCTCTTTGAGTTATTCAACTAGAAAAAAACAAAAAAAACAGGTTAAAATTGTTTTGTGTCAGGCTCATTAGTCTTCCCAACTGAGCAATGGTGAGAGGAAAAAGATCATTAAAGCCTTTAGTAATGGTACCAACGTTCATACTCTGGCTTCCACCTTTAAATTTCATTCAAAAACCATCAAGAGAACGGTGAATAAGTTTAAAAAAGAGGGAACAATAGAGAGGAAAACTGGATCAGGAGGTCACAACAGGAAGAGGGATCATCGTTTCAACTTAGAGTAAATACATTCTTATTGTTCAAAGAAGAGTTCCACAGTGTCATAAAAACCTCGAAGAATTCCAGTAAGATATCATTAATCATTTCTAAGATACAACGGTTCAAAGATTAATCTAACAATTTGGACAATTTTGCTCTTACACGCGGTATATCTATCTATCTATCTATCTATCTATCTATCTATCTATCTATATGTATATAATAAAAGAAAAATACTAAAGAACTTCGGATTATTTACCTAACGAGTTCTCTCCTATTTTCTACATATTTGCACACACACACACACACACACACACACACACACACATATATATGTATATATATGTAGAGAATTAATGGATTGTTATTTTTAATCCAACATTTTTATTACTGTGAACGTTATTTTTAGTGGATACACATGTGTGAATAAACTCCCCGTTTTTACTTAAACAGTCTGTATTGCGTCTACCGGCCTGGTCGTTCATGAATCTCTCACGTACATTCATATCTGCTCAAAGTACGTGAAAGCTTCATGGAAGATTGTAGTTTACAAGCAGTAAAATTGACCTCTGTGGCTCAATCGGTTAAGGCACGTCAGGCTATATGACGGTTCCGTATAGGATACAGGTTCAATTTCTGTCGGAGGACGAATTTTTTCTATGAAAAATTCTCGGACATTCAGGCCGATAAATGTTATTAATAATGTTTATAAATAAACAGAGCATTTACTTAAATATTTGTATCTATAAAAAGAATGTATAAACATAAAAATGTCTTAATATATATATATATATATATATATATATATATATGTGTGTGTGTGTGTGTGTGTGTACGTGTGTGTGTGCGTGTGAGTGTGTGTATGTGCATGTAAATATTCTCAGAGGGAGTGTATCTGCAGAAGAGGCAAAATAAATCGTTTGGAAAACTTCGGATAACTCAACTTGTAATAGAACCAATCGGTACCCGAGGGAAAAATTGGAAATAAAAAAAGAAAGAACCAAAAACATCAACACAATACGAAACCAATCGTCAGAAAAGAAACCAAACGAGCAGAAAGACTCTCGTCCTAGTTTCTAGAATATGTATATATATATATATGTGTGTGTGTGTGTGTGTGTGTGTGCGCGCGCGCACGTATGCAGAAAAATAAGAAGGAACACGTTAGGTAAATAATCCGGAGTTCTTTAGTATTTTTGTTTTTATTTTTAAGAAGACAGTGCTCCATACAGAAGTAGAGCTTATATTATAATATTTTTTTAAAAATATGATTCCTTCGCTACATAAGAGTTCTCATGTTTCACAAACGAGAGCCGAAACCATCAATATAACGTAGTAAAAATTTCTTTATATCGCTTATTTAATAGTTTTGTTTTGGCTTGGGGAAGATGATTAAAGCTATTTATTCAATTTTGGGGTTGATTGTTGTAGTTTATTTTGACTATTATTTTGGCGGGAACAGTTTTTAATTTGTTTATTACTTCATGTATTTATTTGGATTGATTATCTTTATTTGTTTTTTCTAACGGTTAGTTTATCGGGATCATTTTGTTAGTTTATTTATTTATTTGGATGAATTTAGGTCAATTTATTTTACTTGTTATTATTTATTTGTTATAGTGTATACTTTCTCTTTTCGGTTTTCGATTTTTAAGTGACGTAGTATTTTTTTTATCGTTATATAACAGTTATAGCTATTTTGTTTCGTCCGATTTTTATTTTTATTTTTATAGTCTAATATTTTGGTCATAATCGTTTGCTAATTTGTTTATTATTTACTTTATTTATTTGGGTTCATTGATTTTTTTTTTCTTAAAAACCTTAGAACCTCCCGATCCCGCAAAAGCACTATTCGAGCTTTGTTTGATCAGTCCATTTCCTATTAATTAAAAACAGAGCATTTACTTAAATAAATTGTAACTATAAAAATTACGTATAAACAGAAAATAGACAATTGTCGGACTTAATCCATTTCATATGTTGTTAATGTTTACATTAAGGTTCAGAGACATCTATAAAATTATTATGGTAAATAAGTAATCTAATAAATAAATAGTGTTTAACATCTTTGTTGTCAGTTCTCAAGAATAAAGAAAATGTATAAATCCACTTTCATAATAAACATTACCGAGGGAGTCAAATGTGTGTACAGTAATAGTCAGCGAATAGCCCCTGGAAAATGTTACGTTCCAAATCTACGTTACACAAGCAAAGTATTATCCCATTCATGAAGGCAAAGCCTGTTTTCATTATTGACCACAACAAAGCGTCATCAAGCTACCATGTGACCCACTTGCGACATAAATGAAAATGTCAGTAATTTTGTGCTTCCGTGATACACGCCTAGGCGATCATGTATCTTTCGATACATGACTGACGAAGCAGATTTTTTCTCATTTCTTTCTACGGTAGACCAGTTGCCATCTAGGGCTGTCCTGCTATTTACACATAGCTGGGGGTGGGGTTAGGGGGAAGAAGAAGATTCATACCTTTCCCAAGGGTATTTGCACGTAAGTGAATATAATGGATTCGACTGGAATTCGAACTCGGCTCTCCGATTTCTCAATCCGTGGAGTATCCATTACTCCATCGTGCATCCTATACAGTAATAACTTTGTCAAATTAATAACTGTCTTTTTGACACGCCGTTCTTTGCGTGCACGGGTGTTAAACATTGACTTTTTTTTTTTTGCTTCATAGCTTATATTTATATTTTGTGGATACACTTGTTTGAGTGGATGAGTTGACATTTTTTAAACGTTCACCGGTCTGTGCATTCGAAAGTCTTACTAAAGAGAATGTATAATATCTTGTATATGTGACTTGACCCAAAGAGTTAACTTCAATACCTGGCTACACCAGTGGTGAAACCCCCCCCCCAAAAAAAAAAAACTTGGAGATTTGAGTTAAATGAAGCTGAAACACCCGGAAGAGGCATGGCACATGGAACTAGAATAATATACCCCGGTGGACGAAATAGAAGCTTCAGTTCGAAATTCCAATCACCTGAAGAAGGCTGGAGAGTACAATGTCCGAAACGTCGTGAATATCGCAATAAAGATGAGGACAGCAGTTCGAACAATGTGAATAACGTTGAACAATATTATGGACATACATGATGCTATTACACATTAACACGACTAATATGGAAGACGAACAAGTGTTATAATTTATTCACCACGCACCGTGATGTCAGGGATTAGGCCTGTGTGTCGTAGGCAAATAACCTCTGGAAAATGTTACTTTCCAGATATACGTTACACAAGCAAAGGATCATCCCATTCATGAAGGCAAAACCTGTTTTCATTATTGACCACAACAAAGTGTCATCAATCTCCCATGTGACCCACTCGCGACATAAATGAAAATGTCAGTAATTTTGTGCTTAGAGTTATTCAAACTTGTAATCCCGTTTTAATTGATTCCCAACACTCCATGTTGACACTCCTTGGGTTACATTAGCGCTGTGGACATTATACAGTCTAGTAATACCTTCTTTATAATACATTGATCTTGGAGAGTATCCATACTAAGTGGCCATACTAAGTGGCCACCCAAAAACTGGCCTACGGATGTATAGAATGTTTTTTTGAACAAATTTTCCGTCGTCGAACTCCACCAATTATCTTGACAATTCGTTGATACTTGAAGCGTCTCAAAACGGAAGTTTCTAGGGACCTGGGAAATTTTCGATATCCCCATGTA